TGGGCCGACCCTTTTATTTTAAGAAGCCTAATTTATCATTTTATAGATTAAAGGAGCAGCTCAACCCTAAATTTTGTCAAGCCTAAAGGGTTGGCCTAACGGATTCAGCCTTAATCAACAGCTCTAAATAGGATCTCTTTTTTATCTTTTTTAAATTTCTTGCTATTTTTGAGTAGAGAACAATATAACATCCATATAAAATCCACTTAGATGGTACATATTATTAGAGGCAATCATGTTTAAGACACGATTGAACATTAAATGCCGGCACCTCTTATAATATCTCAAAATTTAACCCAAAATTAATTAAGCTAATTAAAGGTAAATTAGTACTTTTAAAAAAATATTTAGAGAAAAATAATTTTTGGTTAGGGGATTATTATTTGGATCTAATCTAGATAAAATTTTAAATTATGATTTTTTTAGAAAGTAGAGATAGTAATAATATTATTATTAAAAAAGAAAAAAGAAAGAAGAAGGAAAAGGAATATTGAATTAAAAAAAATTAAGAGAGGGGGGACGGAAATTCCGTGTGTGTGTTTAGTGTATAAATAATAATAATAATAATAATAATAATAATGAGAATTCTGCTGTGGGACTCACACTTCAAAAAAAAAAAAAAAAACACGCCTCTTTTCTCTTCATTTTCCTTCTTTCTTCATTTGGCCATAGGGAGCTGAATTAAAAAATGAAGCTCCATAATAAAATATTTTAAATAAAATTTTAAGTATTTTAAAATGATATAAGTATTCTAAATATTTTTTAATCATATTTTTTCTTTATTTTTATATTTTCAGATTATGCAAAATCTAGGTTTGAAATAGTGATAAATTTTTTATGAATAAATATAGTTATTGAGGTTGTTGATAGTATAATAAATATTCTATAGCATTATTTTATTGATAAAATTAAAATTTGAGGCTTTTGAGTTAATCCATAAACTCTTATGGTTAGAGTTTTGGTAAATTTAAAATTATAAGTTGATTTATTAACTACTAGAGGATTATTTGGGAGTATAAATATATTATCAAGGTTATAAAATGATGATTCTAGGCTTGAAACTAAGTTTATAATTTTTAGTTATTTTTAGGTTGGAATTTTTGAAAATAAAAAGAGAAATTTTGATATTAGAAAATTGTTTGAAAGATGACTTTAGTCAAACTTTAATGAAACTATTGCGAAGGAAGCTATTAAACCAAGTTGATAGGTTCAAGTATATGAAATTAAATTTTAAAATTTAAGAGGCTAAGACTAAGGTTTGGAAAAAAAATACTTTAGTGTTGGAATTTGAGTGAAAATTGCATTAATAATATTATTGACATGTTGTGATATAATTATCTATAGATTAATTGTTATTTGGCACCAATCAAGCTTTGAAAAGTTTGAAAGTTGTTGTAATTTAAAGGGTAACCTTTGACCTTTTAAAGATTGATGTAATTGAAGAAAATCTATTTTATGCATTTGTGTGTTAATTAATTATTTATGTTTGTGAAACAAATGAATATGTATATATATATATATATATATTTAAATTTTGAAATTTTTATTTGTAATGCTTATGTGGCCTTATTGAGATCCAATAATTTGTGACTAAGTTAATTGTGATACATGTAAAGAATTTGAGTATGATAGCCGTATGTGGAAAAAAAAATGGATATGAAAACTTTCTTGTAATGTGAATTGTTAATATTAATTTATGCTCTCGTGAGATAATGTGATATGATTTGAGTAATGAAATTGAGGATTGATGATGATGTGCATACTCCTAATTATAAATTATGGATTATACATGATTATAAATTGTGTATGAGCATGTTAAGGTTTTATATGATGTTAATATGATTTATATCGTAATATGAAAATCAATACATGAGGCATGATTGAAATATGATGATTCTTGATACTTGTTGAATAAGAGTATTGATAGATATGTGGGATAGTTATGAATTATATATATGAGAGGTATTGAAACACGTCTTTTCATGAGCATGATTATATCATGGGAATTCGCCTTAGTGAAGGAGCTAGTAATTGTGCAAGATGCATATGACACTTAGCTATTAATTGATAATTCTAAGCGTTATGGCTAATACTTACCTTTTAAAGTATTATGGCCTTGTTTTTATTAAGGGACTTAACCCTACTGACCTACCTAGAGTTTTGAATATGACACTCCATAATGTGTGATTTGAGGAAAACCGTGTTCATAAGTGAGTAAGGTAATCGTAGCCTAATAGCCCCTCACGATATGATTAAGATCCTAAGTAGTCTCACCACATGGACGATCCCTTTCAATTATTAGCCCATGGATTTCATGTCAGAGAAAATAAGAGGGAATGTAAGGAAGAAATTGATAATGCATTTTATTATTATTATGCCATTTGAGTGATTGATGGCTATGTTTGAGATTATGATTGTAATTATGAAAATAAAAACATATATGTGAACAATGTATATATGGCCACTTGTGCCAATTTTGTCGGAACATTCAGTACTTGCGGGCAATTGTACCAATTTTTGTACTTGACTTTATTCTTGAGATTATTCACATGAGTTAGATGTTAATCTAATTAGCATAAACTTGATATGATTGTTTACATGGTTATCTTGATGAATTTATTGGCCACTTACATTCATGATTAATTATTATGTATTTGTATAACTTAGATGTACCTTGATTATTGAGTGGTTATATTCACCTCTCTGACCCTCTCTTTTAACATATTACAAGAGCTAACTCATTTGAAAATAACAAAGGAAAGGAGCATCAGGCTAAGTGATAATAATCACTTCTGTAGGCCCTCGCTTTTATTTTGATATGTCTATTCAATTTATGATATCGTCAAGTAGAATAATATATTCTTGATCCACTTGCATTATGAGTTTTGTGTTAGGTGAAAATGTATTTTGGGCCCTTAAAAATGTGGTTTGATGCTTATGTTTATATTATATGCTTGATTTGATAACTTGAATATTGTTATGGTCTCCCCTTATAATTTTTATGTCCAAAGGTAAGTAGTTGATATTATATGAATGAAAAGAAAAATTTATGCATTTGATGAGCCATTGATGAATAGGTAATATATAAAGTATGATGACTAGGTATTAATCATTATAATAAATGTGATTGAAACCTTGACTCTTCGCTACCAGTTAGGAGGGATTTAAATAGCCAAGTGTTATATTAGTGAATATATATATATATATATATATTATGTGGAGTAGGGCACGGAGATAAAATAAGAGGAAAAGTTTTTCTCCCATCTTAAATTCTTGAAATGTGTTTCTTAATGCTTAATCAATCTTAAGCTTTCGCACATTTTTAATTGAATGGTGTGAGCTCTTGAAATATTTTTAAAAACTTAGGATCCCTTAATTTTAAATAATTTGTGAAAATACATACTAAGGATTTATTTAGTTTAATTGCTATATGATAACCTTTTTTGATTAGTGCTTGATTAACTATGATTAGTGTGATAATTTAAGTTTTACTTTAAGACAGTCTTACACCTCTCACTGCAAAAATTAGAATATTAGTTCATCAAACTGTAAGTCTCGTTGGAGTCAATCTCATTAGTGTATTTCGCTTCTAAACTTGCCATGCAGATGTAAATGAGCAGATCACACAAAAGCTCGGTTCCTTCATTCTCTAACTTCATAAAATGCTTTGGAGGATTTTCTCTCTGAGTTCACACGCTTGGTTTTTCTTCACACCCCGGTGTTTCAAATCTTTATTTTTCTGCTTTTAGTTTTATTGTAGCTACAATGCTGCTTCATTATTTGAATTGAACTAGACTGATGAAGGTTTTAAAAATATCGTGTACATTACTCATAACTAAGATCTAAAACCAATTGACTTCACAAACAATTTGTCACTGACAAGGGCAATACAAACGAAGCAGCCCCCTCATCCAAACAACTAGCCAAACATGCTCTCAGATCCCCTGCTTCCACAATGAAGTGAAGCAAGCTATTCCCATGTGCTTGCTCCTATTACTGATTCCCTCTTTTCTTACTAGTTTTTCAGCTTTTTAACTGTCTTCAATGATGATTTCAAAGTGACTCAGATTTTATAATATCTTTTGAATTAGAAAATTACTTGGCGTAATAGGAAGGAAAAGAGATATTATAGATGGAGTGGGCTCCTCTCAAAGGAGAGAAGCCTCCTCTGCCTCTTTGAAACAGAAAAAAATCTAAATTATTTAAATTTAATAATTTTATTTTATTTTTTATTTATATTTTTAAATTAAAAAATATATAAAAATTTTAAAAAAATTAATAAATATACTAATCAATTTAAAAGTTTATATTTAATATAGATACTTTAAATTTAATATAAAAAATTTAAATTAACTTTTTAAATATATTCTGCACGGTGTAATTTGTTAAAATAATTTAAAATTAATTTTAAACTATTTGTATTAAATATGAACTTTTAAATTGATTAATATATTTATTAAAAAAATTTTAGAATTTTCATACACTTTTTAATTTAAAAATATAAATAAAATATAAAAATAAAATTATTAAATCTGAACCATCCAGATTAAATCTGGACGGTCCAAATTTTTCTCTGCCTGCTTCTCTCTGACTCCATTATAGATATAGTATACAGGCATTGGTCAAGTATCTAACAGAGACACAGTTAAACGATCGTCATTCACCGCGTTAACCTTAGCTGTGTCTGTCCAGTACAAAACGGTGATTTATCACGCTGTAGGACTGCAAGTGGGAAATTGGGTGCTGTTTGAGGATCCCTAAAAGGCAAAGCCTCGCTGTTTGTCCCATCAATCAAAATCAAGCCTTTCCCGCTTAACTCAGCAAACAATCCTGAAAAATTTGGGATGCTAGCTAGTTGGGATGACGGTGGTTGCACGCACAAGATTCCTTGGGCAACCTAAGCCCCCAGGTCTCAATGAGGGGCAGATCATAGATGATAACATGAAGTTGCAGGGAGCAACCACAAAATTTATAGACGGAAATGTTACCAGAAATTGAAGTATCACCGTGTAAAAAAATACTTTTATTAATTTTGTAACAAAACTCATCTTTACAGAGGCGACATCCGCTAGTGGGGGCAAAAATCGTGACTCTAGGACCATCAGTAAATCTTTTACGGCTAGTGTGTCTACACGAGAGGCTCCGGGACACGAATAACGTATAGGGCAAACGGAGACAAAGAATGCACTAATCAATATCTGCTTGTAATCTAGATCTCTTGGAGGGCATGGAAGACGGTGACAATGGTGACAATCGAGCTGATAATGAATCAGAGGGATTACACTTCGTTGATTGCAGCGTAGATGGAGATGAACTGTGATCATCGGATCGCCTTCTTTTTTGAGATCTTTTCTCCTTTCTCCTCATTTCACTTGTCATGATGAAATCAGTCAAGCGTTTCACATCTGATAGCTTCACTGGCTTCAATAGAAATTCCTCTGCTCCTTCCTCCAAACACCTGACAAACAAAAGCATAAAGAATTGTTAGATGGAAATTTTCAACAAACAAAATTATCTCAGCAGGATTGATTTTCTGTTGCATAGTCAAAATGTGGTTATATTGCCAGCCGTAACGTGTCATACCAAAGCGTTTGACAAAGAACATAATACAAGTGAAGTTCCTTGATTATTTGAAATTGGTTATAAGAAACATAACATATGAAAGAACTATAATAGCAACAGTTGCAGAGTGCTTGTACAATACAGTTCCTTAATTATTTAAAATTGGTTAAAAGAAACATACCATGTGAAAGAACTATAATAGCAACAGTTGCAGAGTGCTTGTACAATACAATTGTCTATCAGAGAAATAGAATCTGGATTTAATCATGCATCAATAATTGAAGCCAGGAATGCAAATCAAAAGAAACACGTTAGGTTACGCTCGGAGACATGCTTCTGACATCATCAAATCGTGTTAGTCAAACGTATATTTGATTTACCAAAGTCCCACTTACAATTCAAATTTTACCATTTTAGATGCTTAAGGCACATCATACAATGAAATCGAATATAATCAAATTAATTAAGAAGATCGGTTCACGCGACAAACTAGCAAGAAATTGTTCAATCATTCAGAAACATACCTATCAATTCGAGTCAAAATGTTCTCAGAAGACATGATCACCACCGGAATCTCTCTAAAAATAGATGACTCCTGCTGAAAACAACACACGATAAGAGCAAAAGGTTAGCTATGAATTACAGTTTGAATGGATTCTTCAGAACTTATAGCAGAAAAGAAGGGAAGTCTTGATAGAAAGTAAAAAGAACTACCAACCTTGATCTTCTTAAGAAGTTCAAATCCTGTCATCCCCGGCATGGAATAGTCCGTCATGATCAGATTAACCTTCGCACTCTGACCACCACAGCCATCAAGTAACAAGGTCAGCCTCAATTCCAAATATTAATAACGCCGTAAATGTAACTAGTCTTCCAAAATCACATATCCTTACATTAAAGCCAATGGAGTTCTCATCTCCATCCAATCCCAAGTATTGCAAAGCTCTGGTTCCACTCTCCACGACCGTCACTGCAGATTCCCAAACCAGGCAACTTCACAATCCGATCGAAACCCAAAGAAAGTAAAAAAACCCTCTGTGGAAGGAACAGGATCGATATCTTACCTTTGCAAGAAGAAATTTTGAGCAAGCGTTCGATGACCTTACGATCGACATGACTGTCATCGACGGCTAGAACATGGAGTTCCTGAGAACCTGAAGGCGATTCATCCAGGACCTGAGGCAAATTGACCCTGAAAAGGTCACCGGCGATGGTCATCTCCGATGTAGAGACGGATGCTTTGGACGAAACGAGAAATGAGAAGTAGAAAGTGGGAAGACGAAATGAAATGAGAAGGGAAAGGAAGGAGAAGTTTTTAAAAGAGGCAAGAGATGGTAGAGGTTTGATTGACAGGAAAGGGAAGAGATTCGGGTGATCCAAATCTGAGAGATCTTTGCAAATCTACGAGACAGGATTACGCCACCACCTCTTGTCTGTTCCTTCTCTCTCAATATCCCCCTTTTCATATCTTTTCTCGTTTTCTTTGTGCTCCTCACAGTCCCCACCGCACAATTACCCCTAACAAATCCTGAAAAATGACGCGCACCTTCACAGGATTTGATGTGGATGGATAAAACAAATTCTCTCATTTTTCGTCATTAATAATTACATTGAATTACATTTCACCTGATTATTCTTCAAAATAAGCATTACCCTTGTCCTGTCCTATTTGTTTGACAAAAAGTGACGTTGATTGCAAAATGTTAAAATAATAATAATAATAATTTTTCTATTTAATATATAAGAAATCATTTATATAGATAATTATGTGGCTCACCATCTTTCTTTTAATTAATAATAATACGATTAAGTTAAAACATTTAACAAATAAAGCAGCATAATAATTTTTTAAAAAATATGTACAACAAATATTTCTAACACTTTATAAACTGGATGGAATTAAGTAATACATAGTGCATAAATATTTCACTGAATTGTTATGAATTGTATATTGAATATATATCCCTTGCTTTAAAAATGGAAAACATTTTTAAGTTAATTTTATTTCCATTAAATTAGTTAATTGTTTGTAAATCAACACTATTTTTCTATATTTAAACTTATTTAATAAAGTATATTTACTCAAAAAACATTAAAAATGCCTTAACGGAGGGAATATAAATTAACATTAATGATTTTCGAAAAAATTCTAATGTTACATTTGTTAAAGATGGCAGGTGTAAACTTTTAATATTAGTATTGGCCAAAAAAAACTTTTAATATTAGTAAATCTTAAATTTGTCCATCACTACCACTTTAAATTGATTTTTTTTTTCTGACCTGCACTTTAGATTGAATATCTGACTTATTTCAATCTACTTAATTTAAATAAATCAACCTTTGACCGTGATTTATGGTGCTTATGAAGTTTTAAAATCTTTATATTTCAGGTTCAGTGTAGAACTTCCCTTGTCCTTTTTTTTTTGGTGCACTATTTATAGCCTGATTTATTGATATTATAAGAATATTTCTTACCAAATAATATAAAAATACTTCTGGAAATCATAATTATGGGGGAAAAAAACATTTAGCCATTATGTGTAAATTTCATTAGATTTGGGTCATTGTTGGTTATTTGAGAGGTTTGTTCCAGTCCTGTGGCTGCCGCGGGTATCAAGAAACCAGCAGTTGTTTTGACTTGAACTACTTTTTGCACAATTTATTTGTTTGTTTATTATAAAGCTTTGCGTTTTTTTTTCCCCCTCCGTATTGTATTGGATCCACTTTCTTTCTTCTCCCGCCTCGGTGTGTTCAGCCCATGATTGTGCGAAATTAATTTATCTTTGTTATGTCATAAATGAAGTTTTAAAATATTCGTGATTCCTAATAAAGGTTGACTTTTCTCTATGACCAGCATACATTTAAAATCGTATAGCATCATGTCTACCCTACTCCTACTTATAGTTATAACATGATACTATAGAAGTTCTGGTGCTGGAAAAAATAGACTGAACTGTAGTAATTGATCCGGAGTGACTTTCAATATTTTTGGAGAGAGATGTTTAAATTATTAATAGTATGAAAATGAAAATCAAAATAATCAGAAATCAGAAATAAAGCTAAAGAGAGGGAAAAGAAAGCGTGGGCATGACGGAAGCCGGAAGCCCACCGTACCCCCAGCGTATCCGAGGTGGATCCGCTGAAAAGCCCTCCCTTCCATGTTGTTTTATTGATGGGAAACGACAATAAAATCTTTCACATTATATAAATATTAATTTATTTTTTAAAATATTATAATTTTAATAAAATTTTAAAAAAAAATTATGTCAACGAATTTTAAAATAAAAAATTATATTATTTTTATTAAAAATAATAAGTTCTAATCACAAGAGTTGGATAATAAATTATAATTTATTAAATATAATTTTATTATTGAAAAATAAATTTCAATTACAATTTTTACTTAAAAAATAATAATTTTTGTTTTATAAATCAAAAAAATAAATAATAAATACTAATTTATTAAGTGTAATTTTTATTATTAAAAAATTCTCAAAATAACAAACCACATTCACAACTTTTGTTCAAAAAATGTAAGAATTGAATAAGAAATTATAAATTGTCAATAAGGATGAAATAATTTTTTCAATTTAAATTTTATTGACAAAGAGATCTTTAAAAACTTCATTAAAATTATGACATTTTGAGGGATCAAATTATCATTAATATAATTCAGGAGAATTTTATTATTATTTTTCCTTTATTTATTTAATTTTTTATAGAAATTAATTATTTAATTAGTATAATTTTGATTTAATTGTAATTCAATCCTTTAATTTTAACTTATTATAACTAAGTCTTTATAATTTTAACTCAGTTGTATTTTAATTTTTAAACTTTAACTTGATATAATTCAGTACTTATAATTTTAACAATTTAAAATATTGATCTTTATATTTTGAAAAATAAAATTATAAATATTATTTTTAAAATATACAAGGATTAATATTTTAAATCATTAGAAATTTTAATTTTAAAATAATTTTAATTTATAATTTTATTTTTTAAAATATAAAGATCATTTTTAAAATTATTAAAAGTATAGAAGTTGAGTTACATCCAGTTAAAGTTTAAAAATTAAGCTATAATCAAATCAAAACTATAAAAATTAATTTGCAATAGGTTAAAATTTGAAAATTAAATTACAAATGAATTAAATTTGTGGTATCTAGATGATTAATTTTTCCTCAATTTTTTTAGGGTGAGGAAAAAGAAGTAAGATAAAATGACAAATATATCTCTTAAAAATAGGTAGGTAATGAAATAAGGAAAAATATAATTTTAAATTCTTAAATTTTGCTCGAGTTTTATTACAAGTTCCTGCACTTTTTTTCGGTGGTTTATATTCTTACACTTTTATTTTTTAATATTCTAAGTCCGTATAACATTGCTCTTGGAGAGGATTTATAAAGTCAAAAAATAAAATTATAAAGACTTAAAATATCAAAAAAATACATGAATTTATGACAAAACTCGAGTAAAATGCAGGTACTTAAGATTATATTTTTCATAAAAAAATAATCTTTAAAGACTTATTTATCATAATTTTTCTTGCAAAATTATTTTCTGACCTTCTATGAAACAATAGAAAGTATAGTTTATTAAAATTTAAATTAAAATTATTAATAAAAAATGTAAAGTTATTAATATAAGAAATGTGGTTGTTATTGTTCGTCGAAGTTATACTCAATTATGCTGTTAAATTATAATTGCTGTCTAAGCTGAGTTGTTAATATATATATATATATATATATAGGAAACTTGTTTGTTATTATATAACTAAACTAAGAACGATACTTTATATATTAATAATTTTAATTTAAACATTAACAATTATGCTTTTTATTACTTTGTATAGGGTTTATAAATGTGAGTTTTACAACAAAATCATGACACACAAGCCTGTAAGATCTAAAAGTAATTATCAATAGGTTGATCAATAAACATTGAAACAATATCTCGACTAGTTTAACAGAATATTTTGTTAATAGCCAATATAACCATGATTATGGCTATTAATTATTAATCTAGCATCTTAATTGATTCAACGACGGATTCAAATTTAAATACAATGTAGAAGATGAATTAGATGGGGCCTCTTCAAAGATCTTGCCTTGTGTTGAGTCAGACTGTTGGCATAAAATATAATTTTAATTTTAATTTATGTTATTAAAAAAATTTAATTTATAAAAAATAATTTGCATTGGATGGCATTGTAGAAGTACAGTGCCGATCCAATGCAAATTACAAGGGAAAGAGAACACTCATTGATTCTTTATATTACTTGTGAGGATAATTTGCAAAATTATTTGTTTCTGAAATTTGTTGTTGGGTTATACTGTATGTTTTCATTCTTATTTTTAAAAATACATGATGGTTTTTTTTTGGGCCAAACATGGTGTTTAATTTTTCTGGCAATTGTATTTTGCTTTTGCTTCCTTCAACTAATTTTGAGTTTGGTTGTTAGGTTTCTTTTAATCTTCTCTAACTTCATTCATTACTATTTTTTATATTTTATTAGTTTTCCCTTTTTTATTGAGTTAAATTTTATTAATTTTATTTATGGAATTTTCGTTTGGGGCTTTGAAGTCCTTGGGTTCTGGTTTTTCTGTTTGTTTTAAATGGTAGATATTGTTCCCAAATTCTGACCCAGTTTACAGTACAAGAAGGCAATATTAAGAGTAAAGAAGAAAAATTGTTGTTCATTCAATTGTTGATCTACAGTGATATGATAGATTTTATAATGTTGACAGATTTTTACGTACATCTCTCTCAATATATATTTCTTTTATTAAAAAATATATTAATTAAATCTCACCACTAATAAAATAATTATTTATTTTTAAATTCATCATGTAATATTATATTTATTTTTATTTATAATAAAGTGATTCACCTTAAAAAAATATAAAATAATCTATTTAATAAGAATACTTTTAAAAAAAATAATAATTATATCTTAAAATATTTAAAATATTTTACATTTTTAAATATTTAAATTTTAAAAAATATTTTTAAATTTTTAATGGAAGTAGTATTGGCTTTCATTTATTTATTTATAAAAGAGAATAACATTATAAAACACGACGCAATCCGGTGCGGGACGATCCCTCTGAGGTCTGGGTCATGTTTTGTTGCGTGGGTCGTTCGATTTTCTACGTCCTCGCAATCCTGGGTCCTTTCTCTAACGTCAGTCTTTCTGTCAAACCTGACTCCAAAATATATGCCGATCCACTCAGATCGAACTCATGATTCCTTAATCGCTTTTATTCATTGATTATTTCTATGCATAAAATCACTTGCACCCTTCATAAACAAATCCTACGAATATATATATATATATTGATTCCCCGTTGTATTCACACTTTATATCCATTTTGATTTGATGGGCATCTTTTCTTCTTCGTCGCCGTGATCTGCCAAAGACCCCATGTCATAACAAACAAATATGCTTTGCTTTCAATTTTATTAGCCTCATCGCAAATCT